TTATCGGAGGGCTACATAAATCTTGTTTCCTTCCTACGGTGACCTCTAGGGAAGCTGCAGTTTTCTACAGGAGAGTCTACTTTATTATAATCATGAAAATCTCTTACAGATAATGTGCGATTTTATGTATCATCATACAGTAAATATTTTTATTAAGAGTTTTGTGAGTTTCTCTGTCTCCCTCCCTCCCTCCCTCTTACACACACACAATGTACTGAGAGACACCGAGTGAAATTCTATTCTTGGTTGAGGGCCAGACTATATTTACATTTTGTGTTTTCTGAACTATCCACCAAGTTCTGCAGCACTCGTAAACCACAACAGAGACTTTGATACCAACATTGTAAGCTAAAAGGTTTTCAGACCACCTCTTGGATCCCTGGAATTCCTCAGTGAGAAAAGGAATGAGGGGCAAAGTTCTCCAATGCAGCTACACCCTTGGCTGTAGCTAGTTCCCTGAATAAGCACCTTCCAATGTTCTCCAGAATAGTACCCAAAAGTAAGGGATCTGCAGTTGATACAATCAGAGTACAAATTTCTCAAAAAATACAGAGTGTGAAAGCCACCGGTCTCCTGGTTCATTTCCGTGCCATTCGGCGCATCTTACTGGTAAGAGTGCCAAAGAGCGCTGCCTTAGGGGTTTAGGAGGAAGGAATGTCAAAGGAAGTGATAGACGAAATGTGCATATTGGACACCTAACATCCTGACCTTCTGGCAATATTCCAAATATTAGAGATGGTGATGGTGGGGAACCCTTTGGGTTTTCTTTCAAATAAAATATCTGAGCCAGGCTGGAGTCCAGGGTGTCCTTCAGAAGGCTTTAACCTTCTTGAGAACAGCAAGTGCTTGCAGAAGGTCCAAATCAAATCATGGACATCTGTAGGGATCCCCGCCTGAAAGTGTGGAAAGCTACATCATCAGGGTCAACCAGAGGCTAGAAAGCCTGTGGTCTGTTGGAGACCTTTTTAAGTTGAGAAATGGTCAAGTTGGTCAGATTTAAATTCTGCTGGAGAGAGATTCAAGGGCTGCTTTTGTTACTTCCAACAAACTTTAAGCTTGAGAGTGGACTATAAAATAATCCTATGTGCAGATCCTTGTCAAACTGGGCTGGAATTCATGCTGGAATTCCTATCTTAAATTTTCCTGGGATGAGCCTGAATGCAGCAGAAATATGGAAAATAAAATAGACAACCAGTTTTCCATTATTTTTTTCAAAGGTATATGTCTGTCTGCCATCCATCCATCCATCCATCCATCCATCCATCCATCCATCCATCCATCCATCATTAGAGGAATAGCTACAAAAACATATCCACAAATACTACCCAACAGCTGGACCCCAACCAAACAGGAGGACAAGCACTAATTACAGCTGGGGTTAGACCTCAAACACAACTCATTCCTGCAACAGAAGATGCTTGAAAGGGACTAGCTATCACTATGCTGTAAATGATCTTAAGGAAACACCCAGTGTACAGTGATAATTCTATTACTTTGCCAGAGTGATGGGACAAATCTCACCTGGCTGCTGTCCTTGAGGCTGATCTGATGCAGCAAAACAGGAATCAAAATTTAGGTACCAGCTCTATCCTGTTTCAGAGCTTTGAGCTCTACTTTGAAGGACCTCCTAGAGCTTAGAAAGAATTATTGATAAGTAGTCATAACTCATCATTATCCAATTACAGAGAAGCCAACCTATTTTTCAGAAGTTACTTAAATGGATTATGAATCAGCAAGACAAGTACTTTACATCAGATTATGATTGTAATACTAACTGTAGTAACACAAAACAGGCTGTCACGCTTCTCACAAGGCTTATAGAAAATACATTCCCAATTAATGTTTTCAAAACCTTTTTAAAGTCAAAACCAAATGCAAGTTTTCACCCCGCCCCTTCTTGCACGCACTTGTACTAAAGCATCCATAAGCAGCCTACCATGTCTCCCTTTCATCTCTGCAAATCGCCCAAAGAATTTATCTGTAGGATCCATCTCCAGATTCAGCTTCCTATCATGGCCAGCCACCTGCCCCGGAAAGATCACTTGCAGAATGTCCAGGAGATGGTCAGGACTGACCGACATTTGGCTGAATCCTGGAATTCAATCCAAGACAGACTGTCTCGGAGCATACAGCTACATTAATAATTTACAATTAATCATTTTTCTTGTATAACATATACGCCACGAGTCATTAGATTGTGGCAGATATAAACAAAATAAAGAAACTTCTGCAAATAGCAGCTGTTGAAAGACCCCTGAGCTACCCCCAATGGACATTTTATTTGAAGACGGTTGCCTTTACTCCAAGAAGTGGGACATTCAGTAACGTCCTGCATTTCCAATTCCTAAACCCGCAACGTAAAGCGTGAGCTAGAATTTTTTCAAAACTCAACCAGCGAAGAGCAAGCAATGCAACTGCAGAATTGAAAAACCTGAAGCACACATCATTCTCTAGACCAGTGTTTCTCAACCTCAGCAACTCGAAGATGTGTGGACTTCAACTCCCAGAATTCCCCAGCCAGAGCTGAAATCCACCCATCTTAAAAGGTTGCTGAGGTTGAGAAACGCTGCTCTAGGCAAACGCAGGCTTCACGGCTTTTTCTCCAGCCGAGATTTAAAATACACGGCTGCATTTTTACAAAGATTTCATACGCCAAGGAAATGTTACAAGTTGGCACAACAATAATATTAATAACACCTAGGAAATGTCATGGTGGCTAACCACAATTCACGCTTGGAGCAGCAGAAACCCAGTGTCCAATGAAGTCCCGTGGCCAGCGGGGAGGACAGAGAAGCCGAGGGGAAGGCAGGCAGCTATGAGTAGCGAACGACTCTCCTTTCGAGGAAACTCACCCTTTCTGAGAGAGCTCTGATGCCACAATCTGGACTGTTATCGTTTTGTCTTTTGCTTGCGAGGCCGACATTCTGCAATGTTTCAAAAGAAAAACAACCCCGTGGGAGAACTGTACCCGGAACTCAAAGCAAAAGGGGGAAAAAAGCTTATTTTGTGGCCCGAATAAGAATCACAGCGGGTGTGAGATATACACCATTTACACACACTGCCGCAAGACAGTTTGCTCTACCTCCCCACCAGCACTGGAAATGAACACCCAAGGACCATGGCCTGCAGAACGTGGCACAACTGGTTGAGCTCATCCATGGTTTACAAGCCACAATGGGTAGGTCCCGTCATCCTCCTACGCCGCAAACCAACCGCATTATGATTTAAAGGGAGAGCCGAACCACACCGTGACTTGGCAGCACTGCCGGGATGCGAGGATAGTCCCAAAGTCAGCTGAGCGGCCGCACTGGTGCCCTGCTGCCCCCTGGCGGGCTCCAGGCGCCTGCCAGCCTGTCCGTCCGTCCATCCAGCAGCAGCCCACAGCCTGGCCAGTCTCCGAATTCCTCAGCCACCCATGCACACCCAGGACAAGCAGAAGGCCCCACACGAGGGAAAGCACAGGAAGAACACAGGCAACCTGGTGCTGTCCAGATGTTTTGGGCTTGAGCTTCAGAGAGCCTAGCACGGTGTGGGTCAAGACGATGGACTAGGGCTGGGGAGACGCACATTCTGGTCCCTGCTCCTCCATGGAAATTCACCGAGTGACTTCGGGGCAACCATTCACTCTCAGTCCAACCTTTCTTCCCAGGCTGCTGCAGTGGGGAAGAAATGAGGGGGGATTCCCATCAAGCTGGGATAGGAATCGAACCAACAAAAAGCTCCCTTCAGCCTCAGGACGAGAACACAGGAGCCCTGGTCCCAAAATCTGGACTGGAGGGTGTCCGGATGCCCATCCCTGCCAAGGGAAGGGTCAGGCGCTCCACTCAGAATCCCGAAGACAGAGGTCCAGCAGAGAGATGCAGGGTCGACTGAACGCGCTTGCCCTGCACGCTCTCGAGCGTCCCGGGCCGAGGACGAAACTGCCTGCAACAGAGCAGACAACTGGGATGTGATTCAGGTGGTCTCTGGACAGGCGCTGGGGCACCCTCCAGATGTTCATTTCCCACTCCCGGGTTGGTCCATCATGAGGACACATCTGGCCACTTTCACCTTTTTATATAGCCATGATATAAATTGACAGCGCAACCACACCCAACAAATTACTTGGCTCTGGCCCCTGCACCTAAAGACGGCCATTGTTGACCTTGACAAAGCACACCGAAAGACAACCCACAGCTGAACGCACGGGGCAGTTCTCCTACGCATTATGGCTGCACTATCTGGGCTCTTTAAGATAACGAGACGCAGGATGGACATGACAAAGGTGCGCAAAACTATGCAAGGGAGTGGAAACAACAGATGAGCCCTCATTATTGGAGTCTAACCATGGTTTGACAAATAATCTGCAATAACTTGGGCTCATATGGGACACCACAGACAATCTGATCTACTTGTTGAGAAGAAAAATGGATGGCTTTTTGGCTAGGCCACCTCGGCAAGACAAGACTGGCGGCTGCATCTAGACAACGTAGGGTGGTCGCAGAGAAGCTAAGCAGGGCCAAACCCGCTAGATATAAAGAACCTCCTTGACTACACGGTGTGTGTGTGTATTTCATACAAAAACTGACCCCTTAATTATATAGTTTTATTTGAGATGCACATCGTTATAAAATAATTAATAATTCACTTGAAATAACACCCCTCCCCTCTTTTTTGTTTTACACAGGATCAGTACACAGTTAGTTGAAAAGGTACTTACAAGCTTTCCACATTATCTACAGGAGCTCTTCCATGTTAGGTCTTTGGAGACAACATGTTTCACAATGGTGGAATAATTCTAGGTAAAAATTAGTCTATTTTGGATCATGCAGAATTAGTATATTGCATTAAATGTCTTTTGCACATAAAAATATCTGTAAGGCCATAGGAATGCACTAACATTTTCCAGAAGCTATGGAACTTTCCCGCAAATTGTGAGTTGATTTACTCTGGAATGTAATTTATTTAGATTTCTTAAAATTAAATCATAACATTAGAATATGGCAATATCAATACAGAGATCTAGTACAATGGACCTTGCAACGTTTTCCATTTCAGCATTTCTCTAATTACCAGACCCTTTGTCCATTTTAATTGCAGTCAAAAGCTTTGGAAGCTGTTAATCAAATGAATGGCGGACACATTCAATGCAAGATGCCATGGAGGCTACCAGTCACAATGGATTTTATTCTTTCACATCTGAAAAGTAAGACATGGGAAAGCACTCGGTACATGTACATACCCCATTTATTAAAAAAAAAGCTGGTAAGTATTATACAAGTACTATACAGAAGACCCAAGTTCAGAAAAGGGTTTTTTCTATTCTCACATGCAGCACAGGAGCCTGAAGGTGGAACTGGATGGGTAACACTTAAAAATCCTTAAAACCATGAGAAGCCAAGGGAGAGGAGAATGGCACGATGAAAGGACAGGCTGCCCGTTTTCCGTCTGCCTTCTCTCTCTGGGACAGGGGGCAATAAGCCAGAGACGGGCGAAGGAAAGGGAAAGACCCCGGGCTGTTCCGTCCTTCGAAAACACGGAAGAGTCACCTTCAAGGCCTCCACCTTGAAGGAGGGCCAGAGCTCCAGAGCCCAGCCCACCAGAGATGCGCAGGGTGCCACTCCCAGGGCTGGGCTTCGGTGCTCAATACTCCACGGTTTGGCTTCTGTGGGTGGGCCCCTTTGCACAGGCCTTGGTCTGCTCAAGCGAAGGATGGGATGGCAACCCCCCACCGCTGCCAGAGCCTTCGCAACCAGTCAATCCACTTGCATGGCCTTTCCCCAACTGGCTGCCCACAAGATGTGCTATGCTGTGGCCAGCGTGGCCCTGCTGGCCTTGGGTGATGGGGCCTGTAGCCCAGCACATCCGGAGGACTGCAGATTGGATAAGGAGGACAGGATGCAGCAGATCTCCATTTGACAAGCTTTCTCTACAACAAGGCCCCTGTAAAAAAAATTCAAGCGGGCACCTGTGGCCCTTAATGTGGCTGCAGAGGCTAAACCTTTTCCTTAAGACTAAGGCTGTTTCCAGGTAACAGTCTCTTAAAAAAAGTCCAGCAGGGAAGAAATAGTTCTGTCATTAAACAACTGACAGGAACAAAACCTAAACTTTAATATTATAAAGGAAAGTTAACTGTGTGTTACCCTTACACAAAGCTTAAAGTGAAATTCCTATGGTCTTACTCAAATTATGTACACTGTAGCACAGCTAGAAGTAAGAAAATAGCATATATTTTTTTTTAATAAAACAGAGTAGATACCCCAATTTGCTGCTGCTTCAAAAAGCACTTTGTAACATTTCAACTAGCTGCAGGCTCTCTCAAGGAGAAATGTTCAGAGACGAAGCCTTCGTATGCGGAACCCAAGAGGTGGAAGAGAATGCCAACCAAGAGAAAAGCAAAGGAAGGGAAATATGCGACGGGCACGTCAGTTTTGGTTTAAGACAATCCTGAGAGAGAGGTTCTACAATCAGAGGTGACTACCGGTGGACCTGCCCTGGGGGTGCGTGTCCCCTGCCTCCAAGAAAGCACTTCTGCTCTCAAATGCTAACGTGCTGGTGGAAGGGGCAAAGAGGCAAAGGCGTGTCTTGCTGCCCAGCGCTCCCGCCCTGTCCTCCCTTGAACGACACGGGGCATCGCAGCCAGTCCTTAAGGGCCTAACAGAGGAGCCATGCTCGCAGCTCCGCAAAAATGGCTGACCCGTCCCAGGTATCCCAGGAAAAGAATGATGTCAGTGCTCAAAGCTCAGAAACGAAATACTGCAAAGGGCCTGGCACACCAACGGAGCAGACCGTGGGAAGGCAGTGCCTTCTGGATGAGGCGGTGGAGCTAGGAGTTACCGCGTGCACAGTCCCAGGTTTGGCACGTGAGTAAGAGTAAAGCACCTGTTTCAAAGGCGTTCGGTCGCGGCATCGCACACCAAGCCCAGAAATGAGAAGGCAGTTCAGCTTCAGTCTGCGTTACAGCTCTGAACCAAGATCTGGGACTTCAAGGACCAAGGAGAGTCCTTAGCCTCATCAAGCCGTCGCCTTCTGATGGATTGGGACCCCACCTACACCCACTACACAGGCCTCCTCTATCCGGGTTCAGAGAGCCACTGCACTTAATGCAGGGGAAAAAGCAGGGATTTGATTCAACCGAGTGCAGCAAGAAACAGAAGTGAAGCTGTAGTAGAGCCAGATTAAGGTACAAGAGGAGATGCTGTGAACAGTCAGGGAACATTTTCTTTCCATGAGACCCAGAAAAGAAACATCCTGCGTTCAGAAAAACAAACTCATTTTGATATACACAGGTATATTTGTGAAACAATCTGAACCCAAAAGGAGCTTTTAAGTTTTTTGAGTTTTCCACCTCTCCATTACGGTTGCCTTATCTATTGGCATCCCCAGGGAAAAAAGACTCGGAACATATTCCAGGCCAACACGTGCCCAGCAAACACGCACCCCAGATCCCCACGGGTGCCCAGTGCCACTTCCCCTTTCCACGGCCACGGGGTCCATGGAAAGACCATGGACTTCCAGCCAGCTGCCCTTCTGGACTGGATGGCAAAGGGCCGCAAACGAATGGGAGCGGAGGAGGCTGCTGCAGCAGATGGGGGGTCCCCCGGCCCTGGCTGGGGAGGGCGGGATCACGCCCTTGATGGTCGGCAGGCTTTAAACAGAGATGTTTGCAGTCGCTGAAAAGGAAAAAAGAAGTGGACAAAGCTTGTAAGGAAGGCTTACAAGCACCAAACCACCAACTGCTCTGTGCACGTATGACACGGCCCTAACGTGCAACAAGGACTAATGCAGAAGTGCAAAGAAACTACTCAGCAGCTTTTGAAGCAGGCAGTGAGACAAGGAAAGAAAAGCGAGCTCTGGCCCGGGGAGCCTCTCTCTCCACTTCACAGCTTCCATTTCTCGGAGGGAAGAGCCTGGCGATGGCGGCCCGCAGAGTGAGCCCAGGCCCATCCGCTCTTGGTTCAGCGTGTTCCATGTTCAAACAGAGCCCTCAGCAGCAGCCGCTCTGAGGCTGGGGCAGCCCGTGCTTTCAGAGAAGCAGGAAAAGGTTTTTTTCTAGGTAGGCTGCAGTCTGTTTTCAGAGGTTCGTCAAAGCAGCGTGCATCGAAAGAAGCTGCTCTTCTTCGACCGGTTCTCCGTTAATCTCAGGGGCCCGCCGGCAGCTGCTGGACCGTGGTCATTCTGCGGAGAGAGACAAGCGCCAGAGGGAGGGCGGAATTACTCTGTGCAACGGCAGGGGTCCCCCACGCTCAAGCAAGAGCAGCTAAGAGGTCTCCGTCTTACAGAGCACTGCGAATTCAAGCAATTAGGTGCAGGCTTTTCTTTTAACCTCTGCAAGGGTCTTTTAAAAAACTTTACTGGTAACTTCTTTCCTTTTCTGAAATAGGAGTGAAGTGTAACTCAAACGAAATTCAGAAAAACATCGGGGATTTGGAAAGCACTCAAGCGAACGTTAGCTGCATTTAATGAAAACAGGCATGGAAAATGCTCATGCAAATCCCAATCAGGCATGAGGAAGTCCCACTTAATTATGCTTCCTGCACATGGATTCTGGACTTTGTCTTTTGTATTATTTGGCAGATTGGGGAACAATTACATGCTTTAGTTCAACAGATGAAAAAGCGAAAAAGATTATGAGTTTTTGTTTGTTCGCAGTCAGCCCAGGACATTTTGGTATTGTGGGGAAAATCAAGAGGATATGAGCCTTGACCTGGAACACAAGGTGGAAGGCTCAGTCCAGCAACCCTTTTTCAAGCTCACCCAGCTAGGCTTGATGCTATTTGCCACTATTCCCACGTCTCAAGAAGGGCTGCTGAGATGTTGCACGAGAGCTTCAACCTGATCCTCCCCTTCTGCATGGTCACCTTCAATGTTTGGCAAAAACTATTCTCTGGGCGGTTTCTTAACAGTAAGTAAGGAAAGTGACAATTTTCGCAGGCAGATTAGAAGAGCTACCTGCTGCTAAGAGTCAAGCTAGGCTTCTTCTGAAGTAGCAAGCAGAAAGGCTTCCTAGCACAGCCCTGAATTCTGATTCCACTGCTGGCAAATCAAGGCTGTCTCAGAGGGACGGCCTGACCTCCTTCAAGATGCACCTGCAAAGTGCCGGGGACTTAAAGCTATGATATCTGAGGCACCTGTCACGGACCTGCATTTTTCTAATCGCATCTAGAAAGCTTGCGACGTGATTAACAGGCTGACTTATTCTTTATTTGCATTTTTGTCTTGCAAAGGGAGCACTGGGCCATGAGCAAAAAATGGGTTCCCACCAGAGCAGAACAAGCACAGCATGAGAGGCACTTGGGCAGAGCGTTGCTTTTGAAGATACAGGACTGAATGTCATGTAATGGGTTCAAAACACACATTTTGGTTCAGACAAGTGCCTTTGTTTTCAGGCTGTTTTGATTCAAGTTTGTCGTGTGCCACAATGCTGGGTCTGGCTCCCTGTCCTGCTGAGGCATGAAGTAGAACTATAATTGTTTAATGTTGCTCAAGGGATGTTATTCATTCAACTATTTCAGAATTTTGCTCATTGGGCTCTTCCCTCTGTACAATTGAGCCCCAAAGGGTTGAATGCTCCCCCAAAGCCATGGGTAGAGTGTCCTCACTACCTGTCCCAGCTCCTCTCTTGGCATGGTCCTGTTCCTTCCCTGTTCTGGTTCCACACAGCCTTGAATGCATGGAAGAAAGATCTGATGATAGACTTACTTCATAAAGCAGAGCAACTGGTGGAAGTGGTTGTTGGTGGAGGTTGGTAAAGTTAGATGGTAGGGCTGACTGGTTGTAAACCTTTGTCAGCTTGTTCAACAGCTGGGATATCCAGTTTATAGGCTTATAGCATACAGCTATATAAGGGTTATTTTTACTATGAATGTAAAAATAACACAACATACAATAGGCTGTACTGATTTTATTGCTTTGGGGTAATTTTAACTGTCACTGGCAATTTAGATATGGTTTTAAATAGGTGTTTATTACACTTTATTATTGTAATGCAATTTTGTTGTCTGACTCTTTATTGTTCTGATCATTGATCAAATAAATCTTTGCCTAGCTTAGTTTTTACTTGTTAATGTTGATTGTGGTTGGACTGCATCCTGGTGGGGGGTTCATTAAACTAATTTTTTGTTTTCTTACCAGGGAGCCGGGAAGAAAGGGGCCCACCAAAGCCATGCTCAGCCTAGTCAATGCCCCCAATCCCCCATAGCTGGACAGCACAGATGGCCAGAGGCTGCCCCTCTAGGAAAAATGTTGATTGGCTCTTAAGCCAACCTTTTAGCTGCCTGGGCCAACCAACCCTCTTAGTCCCTGCAAAATGCAGAAGACACACCCATCAGGACATACTGACACCAGGAGAAACCAACCATTTTTCTGTTGAGCTTTGTCATAATATCCCGTGCAAGGGTGAAGAAAGCCTGGAATGAAGAGAAAAGTTATGATGAGATCCACGAGATCCAAACAACTGACTTTTCTTTACTGATTGACTGGTTTTATTTAAAAGGATTGGCCACCCAACTCCAGTGGACTTTAGATAATGACATCTGAGTGTAGGATGAAGTTTTTTAGGGGAAGACATCTATTATGCTTCCATTGCCTTTCCCAACTTTTTGAGCTATGAATCCCAATCCAGAAATTGCTCTCTCTTCAAATATCCGTGCTGGCATCATACCCTTGCCAAATACTGGTGGCAACGTTTTTTATCCCAAGAGTGGGTCGCTAAGGAGGGCCAAGGACTGGTTGGCATGACTACAGCTGTGGGCATCACCCTTGTTCTCCTGACAGCAGAAGCCCTGCAAAAGAATTGATGGATCTGCCCTCTACTGCGCAAGACCGAAAGTGAAGCGAAGGAGGGTATGATCCTCTTTCACTTTGTGCTAGCCCTCAATAAGGGCAAGTGGCAAAGGCAACTGCCAGGGCGGCAGAGAAAAAGTTGGGACGACTCTCATTACCGACTGCCTCCAAAGAGGCCGAGAGTTTCTGCGTGCAGAATTGAGTCTTGGCCACAGAACGACGGACTTTCCAGTTCCTCGGCAAGCGGCAAAGATGCCTTGAAATGCTTAAGAGGCAGGAAGAGATGTGGGTTCCTGCTCCCCCCTCCCTATTCTAGACGTCATCTTCACTGCTACAGGCCTCACCCACTGCTAGCACCTATGATGCCCTTACCTCTTCCACGTTGATGCTGGACTTTGCACTTGTTTCCAGAAACTTGATGCCATAGTCAATTGCTAACTGCAATATAAGATTTCAACAAGCAATCAGGATCGGTGGTTTCATTATCAGTTGGCAGCTTTAAGCTGCATAAATGGCAAGTTTTAATGCAAGTTCTGACACTTGAAGCAATTACATTCTTTAGCTGGGGAGCAAGAAAAGGTGCCTGCAAAACCACTTCCACACGAAGGCAAAAAATCAGGTGGAGTCTGGTGGCATCTTTTCCAACTAACCAATTTTATGAAAAGGATGCAGTTCAAGAAAGCTTCTGCCTTTTAATAACATTTGTTAGTCAGAAAAGGTGCTACCAGAACCCTCCTGATTTTTTGCTAACGTGGACTAACACGGCTCCCCTCCTACAATTTCACACACACAGGGCACGTTAATTGGCCTCCCTTGCAGATTTCAGTCTCTCACGCTTTCTAAAAACTCACCCTTCCGGGGCCCAACCAGAAGACCAAGGGCCTGGAAATGGTCAGACTGAGATGTCTTGATGCACGTGGGATGGGAGATGCCATAAAGAACGTCAGTTTCTGGCCTCTGAATTTGGCTACTACCTTTTAGTTTGTCTGGATTCTTTTGTCTTTGGTCAGTCATTTAAAACTCAAAGCTTTCCCCTATTGTATTAATATTTCTTCTTTGTGCTCACAGAGGGTCATCCCTACTATCCCCCAAAAAACCCCAACATGTGCAGTGCTAGTTATAGCTCACTCAGGGTTTTAGTAAGGAAGGATACATTCTACTAAACCCAGAAATGACCATGTTTTTCTAAAACAAGCTGAAAGAGAATTTTGAGCCAACTAAAGGACCTCTGAAAAAATCACCTTCTTCATCCTTCGTTGGCGCTCTTTCACACAAATGTAAAGGAGCAACGTCACCTCATCGGTTTGTGTGCGCGCATGTGAGTACAGAAGAGGGAAACTCCATCCCCTTGGGCCAAAAATGCATACTCCACACTCCAAATCTGCTCTTCTTTCCCCAATCTGGTGGCTTTTGGATGGGTTGGGCTTCAATTCCCATCATCCACACCCATGAGGAAAACTGCTGGGTGGGCTAATATTATGGAGCAGACGTTGAATAGCAGCATAAGCTAAGTTGAGAAAGATCCATTCAAGGTAAATTCTACTGGATGAATTTGTCAACCAACCAATTAAGCCTGTGATCTTTTTTCAGGTGAAGTCACTCCAGTAATGCTTCCCTCAATTATTGTGGGGAAACTGCTTCATCACAGACCATCCCGCACAAAAGCAGAAATCAGGTATTGAAATGTATTCAGTTTCCTGTAGCCTTTCACTCCCTCCCTCCTAAGAAAAAGACACCTCAAATATTAAAAACTCAGGTCTCCCCAAATGACTGGTTTTGCAAGATTTACCTTTTCTCCTTTTTCCTTCGAAACTTGCCTTTTCTCATTCATGTCACATTTGTTGCCCAGGATCATCCTTTCTACATCTGAAGAAGCATGCTGAGTGAAAGGGGGGGGGGGAGAAACCGAGTTAAGAAGAGCAGCCTTACCCAGCTGTAATGTTCTGAACCCAAAGCACTTAGAGGGACGGGGTCTGTCAAAAAGGGCCACAACCCATTTCCTGTCCCAGATGTCTTCCCTGAGGCTGAGCTCTGCAAAGCCCACTCTTTTAAAATCCGCTTTGCTCACATGCCGCACTGGTGAAAAGAGCACTGAGGGGTAAACAAAGCTTCAGAAATAAGAGGAGAAGAAATGGATGAGGCATTAGCCCAAAACTGAGCAGCACTCCTGCCAACAGGAGAGGAAATCTGGAAAGCCAGTACTGAAGGAGAAAAACTGAAACAATTGCTAGCCAAGGCAGCTGAAGCAGAGAGAAGCCACGGATACAAATTTTGAGTCCCCCTTTGTATTAGCTATTTCTTGTTTTATCTCTGTCCCACAGAGGGAAAAAAAGCCCTGATGGTCTTCCGCAGCTAGTCTCTCCCAAGAAACAGTCAGTCTGTCCCTCCCCCCACCTGTGTGTGTGTTCTCTACACGGGACCCTGCGAACGCTCCCCATTTTGTGGCTGGAAACCTTGATTCCCACCTTCGATCAAAAGAGCCTCAGCCTCATGTCTCATTTAATGCAGGAGCCATTCTGATTGTTGTGTTAATTAAAGTGACTTAATTATTTCAATCTAGGTGCAAAGTTTCACAACTTACTAGCTAAGGAGAGCTAGCTATTTTCCTTTCAGGCACACCTACCTCTTCTATGTTCCTTATCCAGTTTTTAATATTGTCAAAAGACTTTTCATTGGTGATATCATAAACCAGCATTATCCCCTAGGAAAAGAAAAAGAGGACAGCCATCATCAAACAATTCCCTTTACACCGTTCCTACTCCTAAAGTTTGAACAGGAGCAACGATGGGGGAAGTAGGAGGAGCACTTCTACGTGCCTTCCATCTCCAGCCTGAATCCATTTATTCAGATGTAAATTTGTATGATGAGAAAAATAAAATCCTAATTAGATGTTATCACACAACTACATGCAAATCACAATCCAGTCAGACAAAGTCCTGTCTTCTCAATGCATTGTTCTTATAAGAGCGTGGCAACAATAGATCTTTCTATGTCAATTAAAATAGGCCTCATTCTTCAAACATCTCTGTGTCAACTATTGATAATGAGGTTTGTTAAGTGAGATGTTCACTGCAAGTTAAAAAGCCACCTACTTTCTGTAAAAACCCTAACCGCTCAAGAGGACTGGCTTCTTTTTAAGCTGATATTCTCGCCTTTCAGACACAGCCACCGCAGATATGCTAAGGGCCTCCTTTTGTTCTGTTGCAGCCATTTCATAAAAGATCTAATTCGGCCGTCTGGTTTTAGTCCAGGGCCCTGGCAAGCCCACAGGAAGGACATCTGCAGGACGCTTCCCCTCCTGTTGGGTTCCAGCATCTTTCCATCATCAGCCTGATCCTCCCTCCCTGGTCCAGCCTCCTTCAGCTGCGGCTTTAAAGCCCAGGGCCTTGCTGGCCTCCGTAGTTCCAGCTCTGCCCATGCCACTGCAAGGAGTCTGGCTTCCCCTCAGAATCCACCCCAGCTTTCCAGGAGGGAACACAAATAAGAGAAGGTCAGGCTGCTTAAGAAGGAAGGCAGGAGGGCCTCTTTTCCCCATCCCAAATGCCTTCACGCCCTGCATTGCCCCACAGAACGTACTCCTCAGCACAATGCCCTCCTCTGAAGGTACCGCTTCTGCTTAAACCAGGCAGCCATTTCTGATTTTTTTTTTTTTTCAGTCTGCTGCTTCCCATATTTGGCCAGGGAGAAAGTCAGCAGCTGTAAACAGTCACTCAGCAACTTCACTGAGGCGGCAAAGCACTTTAAATGTGCTGCAGCAACAGATCGTTTGCAGTTCCTGTCCTGTAAGTCCTGCTGCTTGTGAAGCCTCAACTTTTCTTGATGGCATGATGGGCCTTTGGGGAAAAGGACTTGAGAAAGACGAGGCCCACGACTCCTCCCCTCCTGAGCAAGCTCACAAGGAATCGGGGTGCTATGGAAAATGGGCTGCGGGTGAGTTCAGGTAACTCGTCAGCAAAGGCCAGTCTGAGAAGGCACGCTCACCATGGCACCTCTGTAATACGCCGTTGTGATGGTGCGGAATCTCTCCTGGCCTGCAGTATCCCTGAAAACCAAGACATATTATGAAACAGAGGGTCGGGGGGAGGGGAATTCAGTGCGCCACCCCCTTCCCAAGTACCCGCAAGACCTTTAACAACGCTTAACTTTCAGCTGAATACTGGCACCCGACCCTGCGCATAACCTGGGCAAGGAGCAGGACTTGGAATCCAGCCCAGCTGCAGCCCCAGTGCCAACTCCACCTGGGGGTCTGACGAGCCAGAAGGTTCCAGAACGTGCTTGCAGGTCAACCCTTGGCAGGCCGATATGGAAACGACGAACATGCCCCCAAGTAAACCCCTTCCCTTGCGTTAGGCCTTGTGCACTTTCTCCCTGGTCCGTCTGACTTCCATTAAACACTGATTTCCAACCTGGGGCCTTTCAGATGTCTTGGACAAAGCCCAAAAGAGTCACGAAGGCCAAACTTCTGCTACAGCAAAGAGGCAAGGTTCGTAACACCATCCCTAGTGCCCTGTCAAATAACTGCCACCGTTGCCCCAGGCTATTAATTCTTCAGAGATACTTTTGCATGGAGCTTCAGAGAGGAAGACCAATTTATTGGCGGGCACATTTCAGGAACTCACACTTATATTTTGAGGCCAGTTGCGTTCTGATCACTTACCATATTTGCAGTTTGATTTTCTTCCCATCTAATTCTATTGTTCTGATTTTAAAGTCAATTCCTAAAAAAAAAAAAAAAGTGGGGAGTTAAATTAGGGTTCTGTTCTGTCTTGCTGCAAAGATCTCCCACATCTAAGAGTTTAGACTAGCAAAGCACCTTCGGCATCAGACCCACTCAAAGCTCCACAACCCTTATTGAGCGAATTCTGGTTGAAATAGTCCAAAACAAAAGTCACTGTTTAAATTAATGGTGCCACCTGTTCCCTCAGGGGTATAAAGAACCCAAATTTAACCACAGCTCGCCTAATACTCCTGCTTTTTAGCAAGTGGGGAATTTTTCAGCAGAGATGCAGTTCTGCCCACAAAGAAGTCCTTGTCTGCAAACAGTGAAGAGAAGTGCACAATTCTTTAGATACAAAAGGAATTTCTGATCATTCCCCAAAGCTCAGCTGGTTTAAATATCTCACTGGGCACCATAACACAGCAATAGTACCCAACAGCTGATCCCAGCCTGGGGCTTGGTGGGGCTTTATTTCTTCTTCTTTCAGGGCAACAATGGAAAGTCTTACTAACGCCTGCAGCTCTTTGCAATGGCTACAATGAGCCACCCACGGACGCTTCCTCTGTTTCCTCCCTTCAGCAACAGGAAGTGGTGAACCGCTGCATCCATCAGCAGTGCAGGTCTGCTGACTGGCTGCTACTTCCTGAGGAACAGGTTGCAAGAAGCACGAAAGAAGTGGCTTCCAGAGCTGGGGGAGAAAAATAAGCCCAGCCTACAGAGCCGCTTAAAGCCTGAACCACGAGGAGCTCGACTGCTTTCTTCCCTATTCCCCTAGCCAACAGAGGGGAGCACGCTGCTGCAAACACGGAGCCGCTAGAAGAAGGCCTCCCTTCAAGGTGAACGCAGCCCTAGGTCCCGGCTGGCCACCTCTCCCGGGGCAGTTCCAGCCTCTGAGGGCCTGCAGTGGGAATCTGACAGACAGGCGGGGAGCAGGACTAACGTGTCCACGAGAACAGCGCATACGTTTCTCTCTACGGAGTCTAAGCCTTCCAAGTTCGGAACAGCAGGTTCTACCTGAAGCACAGTCACAGTAGAGGGGTCCCCTAAGTAGGAGACCCTCTCTCATGCATTCAAGACGTAAACTCCCCAAAGGGTCAAGCACTTCTCCGGCTTTGACTCAGCAAACACCATCTGCCCAGCGGTCAGAAGCTGGGCCCCCCATGCCAGGACGCCACCTGAGAAACAGGACTCCCACGTGCCCTGTATGAGGGGCAGAGTTAAGTCAAGGCCAGGAAAGAGGGAGGAGAGGCAAAATGGGCCCATACTGATCCCACTGCAAAAAGGGGCCTAGCCCCGCTGAGGGCAATCTGGAGAGCAGAAGGGAACAGCTGGACCTCTGCAGCAAGTCTTCTATCAGCCAACTCTGCTCTGAATTAAGCAAGATTCATACCGAGTATCTTTCGTAGAACTGAATGCCTGTTGTCAATTAGGGTAAAGTTAATGGAGCTCAACTTCTGGTGACTTCATAGACAAGTATATGAATTTTCTTAGCAATGATATGGAAGCAGCTTGTCACTGCCATTGCTTTCTTCCAAAATTTTAAAACTCCCTGGCCAAGTACCGCAGCTTTAGGATTCCTGATGGCTTCCCATCCAAGTACCACATGTGCCCGCGCATGGCTTGCTGATATTGGTAGTGAGCATAAGATTCCCTATGTCTGAGGCAGTGTGAAAGGCCACCCACAATAAACACGGTCGGCTTTCCTTGACCCTCCTCCTGATCTGCAGCCACAGAGGTGGCTCACCACCTCCACACGCCGTGGCTGCTCTTGGGAAAAGAGCTCAAGGTTGACAGGAAAAAGAAAGTGATGGATCCGTGCCTTTTCTCAGGACGGAAAAGAAACACTGCCTGCATGAATAGATTTCAGACAGAGGAATTTGCAACATGAACAAAGATGCACTTTTCTGGAAGAAATGCAGGTCAAGGAAGGACAAGTTTCTCCCCAAGCCAGCTTCTTGCACCAGCATCCTTCACGTTGCTTTTTCCCACATAGCAGTACCCGGCTCTTCTGCGCTGGCTAGTTGGAAGGGAACCCCTACATCCCCTTTCTGGCTGTAGCACTGAAAGTCCATTTTTTCCACTCACAGACATAACCATTTACGTTCTGCTTAGTCCTTTGCTGCAAACAATTTACTTTCTATTTCCAGTCTATACATCAACAAGCCTGTAAATAATTACTCACTGATGTTTTTAAAGCCACAGCTTAACTGAATTTAACAGAATAGGACATACCAAAGGTCCTGGAACTGAAGTTTCATTTTCATCCTTGGAGGATACAGGCTTTCTATTTGCCTGGCAACTTATAAAAATCATGCCAATAAATAGACAAAATGCACAATGGGACTGCAACTGACATGATAGGAGGAGAGTAGTGTTGGTCTGTGGTTGTATTAAAAGATGTAAGTTTTTGTGAGGTGCAGCTCCCTTCATCAGATACACAGAGTGGCTTCATCGACCTCTGATGAAGGGAGTTGCAGTTCATGAAAGCTACGCCTTTTAATAAAACTTGTGAGTTGGAAAAGGTGTTACCAGATTCCTTCTGATTTTTGCAACTGACATGAGTACCGGTAAAATTTTGGGGAGGATGACTTGCATGTTTCGGTTTTGTTTTGAAAAGCTTAAAATACACTAAATGCCATACAAAGGATCACTTCATTGGCTTTCCAGATATTAACATTTGTCATGCACTGCTGCACCTACAAGTTCTTGCATGCACATACAGGTCTTTGGGGGAAAAAAATACCCACCAAGTCCAGCACCGGAAGACGTGTTCCATTTAAATGTATCTGCTGCAGGGAGCAGATAGCCCCTTTCGCATATATAGCAAGGGCTTACAGAATTTCACACTGCCAGTTTAAAACATGTTTGCCTGATGGGGTTATGGATGAAAGCTGAAGAGAACATCAACTTTGGGCATCTTCTCTAACATGATTGATGGACTTCAATTCATCCCAGCTGGCATGGTCATTGTCCCTAATTAAAATTAGTCACCTCCCTAAATAGAGATGTAACTGATTTTTAGCGCCCCAATTGCTAAAAGTGAGAGAATACAGAAACCAAGAAAAAGAAATCTAAGTGACTTTTTAAAGAACAACAATGAAGAACATAAAGCATAGCCATATGGATTAAGTGGGCTATTAGCAAGTCTAAACCGACCCACGTTGGATCTGCCCTGTTCGGAGCCTGCTGGGGGAGCCTGTTGGGAGCAAAAGTGAAGTGCGGCATTCTCTGATATAAAAAGGGCCTGCACAATAGCGACGGGGCTTCTTCTAGAGATCAACAGCATGGGGACATCGCAGTACAGTAGACTACGTGCATCAACCAGATAGGTAGCCCAGCACAGCACTCTGAAACAGAGAACATATCCCCGTTGCTAAACAACAAGAGAGGGTTCCACACACGGCCATATGGCCTGCCACTTTGAACTCTGGATACATTTCCACATTTCCTATTAATCTACAGACCCAAAGCATATGGAGATTTGTTCTTCTCTGGAAATGTCTTCTATGTAGCGTGAGATAATTAATTCACTGGCTGTGTGACACTCTTCACAGCTTCAGGGAATTGGGTGACAAATCTGCACAAGGACCCACTGCTAGTCTCTGTTTCTCCAAGAAGCATCGTGGTCCCAGTTGCAAATAATCTGCTTACTAGCCTCTCAACCACACATTCCTGAAGATGGAAGAAAGGAAAATAAAGGACTTGTTAAACTATGGCCCAATTAATCCTGTCATGGACAAAGAGTCAGAAAAATAGGCACAGATGTTCTATTCTTGCACACTATTAACTAATTAATAACTCTGAATTGTACCCAGAAATATACTGGTAGTTAATGCAGCTCCCATAGAATAGGTGTCATTCCAGCAATGTATTCTTGGCCTATCAACAAATGGTTACCTACATTTTGAACCTTCTGTAGTTTCTTAGTCTTCAAAACCAGCCCAATATATGAATTGGGTTGAAGCAATGCTATTTTACTGCAGTAGATCCCCCTGTGGTTAAGGCATTCCAAAACTCAGCCATTTCAGTGTTTTCAGTTCTCAGATTTTAGAGAACTGGACCATAGAGACTCTACCCTGAAACACACACTTCAAAGGGACAGTCTTTATGGAAGAAGTACTCAGAATTTAATTTCCAGATTATGCCTTCACAGTCCAACTGCCAGGGGCAGAAGCACAAACACAGTGAATTGAATCACTTTTCTAGAGGGAAACAGTGGAATCCTCCTTAGAGCGTAGGATCGCTCTCCTCTTTCCCCTTTAAGATGACACAGGCTGGAAACCCCTGGCACTGGATTATCTGGTGGCCTTTGTCCACCCTAACATGTCAAACTAGACCAAAAGAGCAGAGAAATAATCCAATATTGCTTAACATATGCATGAAGTCATTACAAGTACTTCACATTGTCTACATCAGCAGCACCGCAAGGCAGGGGAAACAAACTTGTAAAGGAGTGAAAACATTCCCAGAAACCACATCCAGAAATGCAACTTCCTTACAAGCACTGTCAAATTAAAGGAACCTACATGTTCTCCACAGCCTTGCAGGGCTCCTTTAAGAAGGACATCACCAACTGACTATTTACAGAATTCTTCAAACTATCAGTCATGCAATTGTTGCACACCACTATTCTAGTCAAACAGAGAACTCTCAACAGTTGGAACATTGTTCAGAGAGAAATTCGTGCATGCAAGTAACTTTCCATTAAGACGCATAAGGATCCCGCTGTGACATGAGCAGTATGGAATGCAGGCATAGGAAGTTCATACGGCAAACAGAGGGAACCGGACCAAATTCTGTTCTAGGAGAGATGAGTTTTCACTTTAAGGGATGCAGTTGTGTTTGGCGCTGATGCAGAAGTTTGAGCATTCTTCTACCCCTTTAGCGAGGCCCAGGGCAGATGCTAAAAACAAATCAGATGCATCCTTTTTGTCTGTAAGATCAGGACACCCCTCCAGCCTTTGAGTCAGAATAAGATTAGCTGGTTCATCTGTTATCTTTCAAGCAGCTCTAAAAT